AGCCTGGTGTGAGGTGTGCAGGCGCCATGTCCCGTATGGGAGGGGGGCCCAATGTGAGGTGTGCATGCACCATGTCCCACATGGAAGGATGGGGAGCCCGGTGTGAGATGTGCACGCACCACGTCCCACAGGGAAAGAGGGACGGGGAGCCTGGTGTGAGGTGTGCATGTACTATGTCCCATATGGAAGGATGGGGAGCCCGGTGTGAGATGTGCACACACCACGTCCTGCAGGGAAAGAGGGAAGGGGAGCCTGGTGTGAGGTGTGCAGGCGCCATGTCCCGTATGGGAGGGGGGGCCCAATGTGAGGTGTGCACGCGCCATGTCCCACATGGAAGGATGGGGAGCCCGGTGTGAGATGTGCACGCACCACGTCCCGCAGGGAAAGAGGGAGGGGGAGCCTGGTGTGAGGTGTGCATGTGCTATGTCCATGGGGCTGGGGGCACTAGCTCTACAACCCAAGCAGGGCGAGCTGGGGGTCACAGTGGTGCAGGCTTCACCCCATGCTTGCGCCCACCAGGCCCCCAGAAGCAGCCAGCGGGCAGTGGCTCTGAGCCGGGCAGTCACACCCAGTGGTCACCCAGCAACAGGGCCGAGCAGCTAAGGCCTCCTGGGCCAGCTCCCAGAGAAACACTTTAGGCAGCCCAGCCCAGCACACTGGGCCAGTGGGCACAGCCAGGGATGGGGGCTCAGATTAAGCCAGGGATGGGTCAACCCCCATCACCACCCCACTCTGCCCCACAGCTGGGGGAGCCTCCTGGTCCTGGCCCCCACAGCTCCCACCCTGCAGCCACACCCACAGGGCACAGCTGCCACCCTGCTCTTCCTCTCCCCTGACATCACCCCATGGCCACCCATGCTGCCACCTTTCCTCTAACCTGCCTGCCAGCAGGACTGACCACAGCCACATCTCGTGGGCAGCAGGCCAGGTCACAAGGGCAGAAGGGAAGTGGTGGGTGCGTCCCGGCACGGCAGGGCAGGGGCACGGCAGGGCAGGGGCACGGCAGGGCAGAGACGCTTCCAGAAGCCCATTTCCTCACCTTGTGAGGGACAGCCCTGACTGGCCCCCAGGGAGCTACCAGGCCATGGGCAGGGGTATGGACAGTCCGTATGGAAGGGCAGTGACTTGGGAAACGCCGAGGCCGTGAGCCAAGGTCTTAGCCTGTGGCCCCAGCAGTTCCAGGGGACTTCCAAGAGGGACTCGAGGGGGCAGGTGAGAGGTCAGGGGCGTGGGGGTGTGGAGTGGTGGCCGTGTCACCCACCTGCGTGAGGAGCTTGTTGTCACCCTCCAGAAGCTTCACCTTGGTCTCCAGCTGCCTGATGTACGTGGACGAGGGATCTGAAAGGACAGGAGGACAGGTCAGCCACCAGCAGGGCAGCCTTCCGAGTGGCACCCACATCTCCTCGCCCTGGGCCCTGGACCTGCCAGAACCCCTGTTCTGGAGGCAGCCCCTTCAATAGCTTTAATAACCACCACAGAGTCCCCTCAACACCCCCAAGGGGACCACAACTAAGGAGCAGCCCCCCACCACGCAGTGGAGAAACTGAGGCTCCCAAACCTGACCTGTCAGGGTCTGGAATTCTCACCTCCACCGTGGCCTAACCCACAGGTGGGCTGACAACAATCGACAGTCCCTTACAAACCAATTGTACAGGTGGGCCACGCTGCAGATAAGCTGGCACCTGCCACCAATCAGAGTTACCGGGAGCTGGTGCTGGGCCCGGGACCCCAAAAGATGCCGCAGTTACCCAGCCCAGTTTCTGAACGAGGCCAGGGCCCCAACAGAGAAGCCCACGGAAAGTCCCTCACCACGCTGACCCAGCTGGCATCTCGCTACCCTGGCCTCCTGGCTTCCGTCCCGAGCCCCCAGCACGCTGAGAACCTGCTCAGCTGAGTGCAAAGTGACGACGAGGTCACCCCTGGCTGGGGGCTGGAGGGAGCCTGCCGCCCTGGTGGCCGAGGAGGCCAGAGGGGAGGGAGGGGGCGAGCAGCGGGAGGGGCACCCAGCATGCCTCCAGCTGGAACAGCACCCCTGCGCGCAGCCCTCGCCGTGGGCTCTCGCAGCCGCCTGCCTCCTCCCACCTCCACAGGAGACAGGGTCTCGCCAGAACCCACAGGAGGCACCCGGCATCGGGCCCCTCGCTGTTCAATACCCTCCCCACCACCACAGGGCGCCTGGGGGCTCGCGAACAGACCCTACAGTGCATGTAACCCTCCTGGGTGGGCAGAAGGCCACTGGGGCAGCTGGAGCCACCTCCCCCCCGCGGGCATCACGAAACCGCTGCCCACTGCCCGCACACCAGCACGACCCCGCTGAGCCCCGGTAGGAAACGGACATTGCTCTCCCGCCCAGCCGAGCCCACTGGGCTCAGTGAGGGGGAGATTATCTCTGGTAAGGCCTGCCCTCCCCCTGGGAACGCCACGGCCTCCTTGTCCCCTCCAGGATCCCGGCTCCCAGCCCAAACCTCCTGTGCCCAGGGCTGGGCTGAGCCTGCCTAGAGCAGCTTTGGGAGCTACACAAACCAGGCTCCCCCCAGCTCTCAGGGACCTGGAGCCTTCAAGGGACCTGAACGGCAGCTTCCCCTCACACAGCCCTGCCTCGCCAGCCCACCCCTCCCAGAGACAGCACACACACAGGCGAGGGAAGACAGTCACATGAAGACGGAGGCAGAGATCGAGGGGATGCACCCCCACGCCAGGGGTCACCAGACACCCGGGAAGTCAAGACAGACCTCCCCTGGAGGAGGGCCCTGGGACACCTTGGTTTCAGGCTTCCTGCCTCCAGAACCGTGAGACAATAGCTTCTGTTGTTTGAAGGGCGCACGCACGCACGCATGCACGCACCCCGTCACCATCCAAACGATGTTTAGCAAGAGCCTGCCTCCTGAACAATGAGGAAGGTGCTGAAGATGTCAGTGCAAAGACCCGGGTACACAAGTACGTGTGCCGTGGCTGCTGTTTAAGGAGCCCTGGTGGCGCAGTGGTTCAAGCACTCGGCTGCTAACCAAGGGCTGATGGTTCAAACCAGCAGCTGCTTCACGGGAGGACGATGTGGCAGTCTGCTTCCATAAAGATTTCAGCCTTGGAAACCCCATGTGAGGTCCTCTGTCCCACAGGGTCGCTGTGAGTTGCAATCAACTCTACAGCGGTGGGTTTGGTTTTCTGCTTGGTCCAGGGCACTCAGCGGGGAAGGAAACTGCAGTGCAGTGAATGACCTGCTATGGCTTTGCTGGCCACAGTCTCAGTAACTCCCACGGGATCACTGGGTGGGATTATGCAAATAAGGTGTGTAGACCTCTGATGTGGGGACTGGTTAGTTTTGTCACTCTGCCAGGCTTAAGATGAGCCTTCCTAGAGGTAGGGGGGAGCTCTGGTAGCATAGTGCCTAAGGCACTTGACTGCTAACCAGAAGGCCGGCGGTTCAAACCCACCAGCCACTCCTCGGAAGGAACACTGGGCAATCTACTTCCATAGTGATACTGCCTCGGAAACCCAAGGAGGGGTCACTAAGAGTCAAATCTGACTTGACGGCAGTGAGTTTGGTTTGGTCTGAGAGGCAGAAGGGGGGATCGCACTGCCATCAAGAGAGAAGAGCTGGGGGTGAAGTGGAGTGTGTCCTTAGAGTTGAGGTCCCTGAGCTGTAACTCCTTGGCTGAGAGACACTGACTTAGAGCGAGACACCAGCTGAGAGACGGCAGCAGTGGAACCAAGGCGCAGAAGAGAGAGCAGCAGTCCTGCCGGACAACTGGGCAGAAAAGCGAGTGCCTTGGGCAGGGGCTGCTGGCGGAGTGGGGTGCACCTGGGTGTCCCTGTCAGCAGAGCTAGAAGAGCTCCGAAACACCTGCCCGGGCAGGGCAGAGGCCAGGCCGAGAGGCCAAGGGCCAGAGAGGCGTGCCTGGGGGCACACAGAGGGGAGACTGCCCTGATGGGAGAACTGTATGTATCCTGAGCACGTTCCTGAACCTGAGATGTAGCCTGTTACTTCCCCAATAAACCCCACAAGCGTCGGTACTGTCTGTGAGTTCTGTGTGGCCATTGCAACGAATATCGAACCCAGCAGAGAAGTAGTGAGTGCCGTGGGAGGGACGGCTGGTGTCAGAGTTAGTAAGAAGGCTGGAGGGCAGCGCTTTGTCTGGCCTCCTAGGAGTAAGCCTTGGGCTGTTGACGGTGACTCTGTTTCCCCCTCGTGAGGTCAGAGGGTCAGAAGATGCAGCCCCATGCCCCTTTAGCAGAGATCAAAACACTGGCCGTGGTGCTGCTCAGAAGAGGGGCTGCTGTTCCCCACACGCTGCGACCGGCTGGGCCGTGGGGAGACGGCTTCCTCTTATCAACCAGGAGACGGTCTCCATCACGCACGTCCCATCAGTTAGCCACCAATGACGTCACCGCAGTTTTGAATCAGGAGACAGGCGTCTCATGCCCTCTGCCTGCAGCCCTTCAGCCCCGTCTGGTGGCCTTCCCCACGGCCCAGGCCCAGCCAACATCTGGCAACTCCTGCAAAGCTAAGCTGGTCCGGAGCTGCCGGAAGCGCCAGGTGAGCCCCGGCGCCCGCCCTGCCGACCCGGGCCCACACCCAGCTGCCCAAGCCAGGCTCTCTCTCGGGCCAGGAGCAGGGAGGGGCACCTGCCAGACTGGGGTACAGAGCCAGAGGCCTGGAGGGGAGTAAGGAGAGCTAGGGCACCTCCCCAGGGGAGGCTGAAGGGCCTGCTCTTCTCTGCAGCCCCGGGCAAGCCTGAGATGGCCTCCGAGCCCCGCCTCCGGGGGACAGGCATGTCATTAAATTAATGCCAGGGCTTACACGGATGAAAGAGAGCCACAAGGAACACAAGAACAACTTCCCAGCTTGGCTGCTTGTGGGGAAAATGGGAGAGGTGACCACAGAAGAGACCTGGGTCCCTCAGAGCAGCTCTGGATTCAGGACACAGCTTCCGTGGGCTCCTTGGGGCGGCTCCACAGGCACCGCTCCTCACAGATCCTCTGTCCCAGAGCGAGCAGCACCAGCGGGGCGTCAATCAGGGCCCTGTGCCAGGCCCGGTACTAACCAGCAGGCCACACTGCCTTCCCGGAAGCCACCAGGCCCGGGCCAAGCCCCTCCTGCCCTCCTGGCCCTTTCCTCTCAGCGGGACCCTGCTGCCCACGGCTCCCTTTGCCACATCCACCTTCCCACTCCCACGTGGTCCTGAATGGACCGTGAGAAGGGCCCAGAGTCACGTTCCACAGCACCCGGAGCCCCTCACCAGCCCAGCACTCGGCATGCGGTGAGGGTGGGGGGGCACGGGGGTCTGCCTCCAGTGGCCTCCCTGGCTCTCAAACCTGTCTGACCCCTGGGAATGTGACATCCTGCAAGGCGGACATGACCGGGTGACGGAGGGCAGCGTCCCGGCATCCGACTTCAACAGCCTTTGACACTAGGCTTCCTAGCAAGCCTCTCCCTGACCTTGTGACTTCGTGGGGGTGCCTCCGAAGCAAGCAGACCCAGAGTTGAGGGTTCAAGTGCAAGGGGGTTATTTGGGAAGGGACCCCACAACGCCCGGGTTGGGATGGGAAGGAGTCACCGGCAGGGGCGTCCGTCGGCGGGTGCAGCTCCCCTCCTCCTCCCGGCAGCAGGCTGCACTGGCTGCAGCTCTGCAGGGTCCAGCCTTTGGCCAGAGCTCAGTTCCAGACAGCAGGTGCCTGCACCTGCCTCCCACAGGCTGCACTGGCTGGCTCAGAGCTGCTCAAGTCTGGCTGTCCCAACCTCCGACACACCTGAGCAGGCCCGGCTCTGCCTGGAAAGCTGGGGTGCTCTGTGGGCGGACTCCCTGACCAGCCCTCCCGGCTGTCCGGCGGAGCCTGGACGTGGTCTGTCTTCCTGGGGGGGGTACACCCAGCTCCAGGCCGTCTTCTCGACGGGCCCTGGCATTCCCAAAGGCCACCACAGGCTCCAGTGCTGGGAGAGCAGTGAGCGCCCGGATCCGGGGCCAGAGGGAAGAGGTGCTAACTGAGGACCATCCAGGCTACTCATGGGGTGGTGAGTGCTGGTCACCAGGGGGTGCAAGCAGAGATGGAATGGCCGTCTGCTCAGACCCCCTCTGCTGACTGGAAGATTCCTCAAGCAGCCAGGCGGGCACAGGCGGCTGGAAGGCACTGCTGCCCGGCTTGCTGCCAGATACACTCACTGACAGCCGTCAGTGCTCGTGGTGACCTGACCAGGCGACAAAATGGGACGCTTAAAATGACAGGACCCGTCCAAGGTCGCAGAGCCAGGTGCTGTGGGGCCAGGGCAGGTCATGTTTGTCTGGGGCTGGCCTCTTTCTTTAAAGGACTCTCGGCCTACAGACGGAGCTGCGGAAACCTGGTTTACTGAAGGGCAAAGAGCAGAGGGAGGAGTGCCGCCTAGGGGCTGGGGGCAGAAAGGGAGGATGGGCTGATGGGAGCAACCACAGGCTACTTCCTGGAGGAGGCAGCACTGGAGCAGAGCACTGAAGGCGGAGCAGGACCCCACTGCAGACGGTGGTGTGGGGAAATCAGGTGAGTCTGAGCAGAAGCTCGAACATGAGCAAAGGCAGGAGAGCCGGGAACCCCTGCACCAAGCCGTCTGCTTCCTGGCACCCAGCGCAGCCTGGAGACGGGCGGAACGTGACTGAGGTGTGATTTATAGATGAAGGCAAGAGGGCTGCATATCTGCCAGCCTCAGGTTCCAGAAAAGGGCCTCTCGGGCAAAGTGATGATCACTTCTTGGCCACAGACAACCACCCGGGGGGAGTGAGTAATTGGACCTGTGGGCTCGGGACCATGGTCACAGGGGATGTCAAGCTCAATTGGCATAACATACTACACAGAAACAGTGTTCCACACCCTACTTTGGTGAGCAGCAACTAGGATCTTAAAAGCTTGCAAGCAGCCATCTGGCTGCAAGGATGGGTCTCTCCTCATCCAGAGCAAAGAAGAATGAAGAAAACCAAAGATGCATGGAAACAATTAGTCCAAGGGACTGGTACACCATGTGATCCTCAGCCTATATGACCATGAGACCAGAAGCACTAGATGGTGCCCCGCTACCACTGTCAACCACTTGGACAGGGATCTGTGTAGGAGATCCTGGATAGAGTAGGAGAACAATGTGGTACAAAATTCAAAATCATAGAAAGA